AAAAATGATCAAAACATTAAGCCTTTGCATTTTTGTTTGCTTAAATTTATTTTGTGTTTTGCTTATATTTTACTTATGTTTTGCATGGAAAACAAATTATTCCAATCTTATTTCAATTAGAAAAAACTGTTAAAATTTAAGTAGAAAAAATACATGATCTATACGCTTTGTCACTAAACAAAAATAAACTATGATTTGCTTATATGGTTGATCATGATCAACTAATGTTTTGCTTACATTATATCTATGTCCTAATAAAATTTATCAATCATTTATAATCTATTTTTATAGTATGATTACTTCTCATTTTTTTGTCATTTATCTTCGTCTCGTAAGTTTATATATATTAATTTTTGTTCATCGTAGAGAAATATTTAAGATTTTATGATATTATATCTTAAACGTTGGTCTTAGGTTAAAAAATAAAAGAGTTAAGAGAATGTTTTAAGTTACATGTGTGATTAAACAAAATGAAGTTAATTGAATGTAAGATTTTATTTTTATTGAAGTACAAATCTTTTAATAAGAAATAGACCGTTCATATTTCATGAAATATATAAATCTTAGAAATAATTTAGAGAATATTATTTTTTCTTCTAACATTATAAAAATATGATTACGTCGGCTAATTTTTACTAATTGTTTTAATTACAAATCATAAACACATTTTTAGGTTTTTAATATATGTAAATAAATGTAAGCAAAACATTAATTGATCATGATCAATCATATAAGCAAATCACTAAACAAAAATAAACTATGAAATTTATTAATTTTTATTTTCATTCATTTACCTAACGTTCTAACAACCGAAAAAATTCTAAGATCACTCCTTAATTAGACTTTGGCGTTATTTTGTCCAACATTGATTGTTTTTGTTCATTTTAGGCTTCGTACTATAGACGTAGATAATTAAGTCCGTAACACCAAACCAGGCTCGTGGAAAGAAAGCAGATAGTCAGATTTGCATATATTAATCTTCAAGTAAACAAATACATTAGGTTATGTACTTGCAAATATTACAAAGACAAAGTATCAAAAGGCAAATCTGTTACAACTCCTACACAAAAGTTCTCTAGATGGTGGTAAAAGGCGCATGATGATCATATATCTCCTCATCGATTTGTGATCTTTTCAGATAAAGAATCAATGTAAAGAACCCTTTAAATCGTACGAAACAAATTCTTTTGTAAATGAAAATGTAAGATGGATAACAAAAGGCAAGCCTCCTCAGCTACCAAGTGAGCAGAGAGTATCAAAGATGTATCATGTACTAACTTAATGTAGCAATGTAACCACATCATTTATGTATTGTTATATCAACTTCTTTGGTCTGATTCCTTAGATGAACTAATATCATACTGACCGCAAGTCATCGAATTTAACTCTAAAACTAGATTTTTGTCTCGCGTCAAACGCGATATTATAATATTCGAAAAACAAATTCATGTTTTTTTGTAATATACTAGAGAAATTACAGATAACAAATATCAAATGGTATATCTCCCATATAATTAAATATATTATATCTTGCAAAATATTTAATTGGTATGACACTTATATTAAATGTAAGCATTTTTGAAGAATTTTTGAAGCTTTTTTTTTTTAATTAAATCTAATATGTTTGAGATTGTCGTTTTTTTCAAACTTATTTAAGTTTACCAAAATAAAAGTAAAATCTTTTCAAAGAAATACTAATAAACAGTGAAAATGATAAATTTTTTGGAATTCAAGTACTAACGTTTGATTTGTAAAGTTGTACGCTTATAAAAAAAGCAAAAGTTTAAATAGGAGTAATATGGATTAAACGATATAAAATAAAATAATTATATGATCAATCACATATGATATCCAAATAGACATTATTACAATTTTTATAAAATAATTGATACCGGTAAATTATTCATCGTTAAAACATTATGTTATGTAAAATTTTAAAATGTTACATTTTAGTTGAATTTAATATTTACAACACATGTATTTGTGAGTTCATGTTAAAAAAAATAATGTAAATATGTATATATTTCTAAGACCATCTCCAACCCACAACTCCATTTTTTACTCTAAAATGGAGTAAAAAATAGAGTGAAGAACAA